TAACGTCAGTTTTGCTATGTCCGCCTTCATTATTGAGGATCTCTTTCTGCAGAATACGAGTGGATCGATCAAGATCACACACTCTTCGTTTTTTTTTAATTCAGTGTTTTAAACCATGGTCTTCCTGACATGGTCCTTAATTCTAGTCCTTAGTTGCAACAACCAATGCGGTGCTGTTGAATTGGACAACCTATGAGTGGCACTGCATCGGAAACCTTGCAGTATTGACTAACCCAACAGCTGCATGGTATAGAAAGTGGTTGACAATAGCCTTGTTCCAAGACACGGGGGCATCTTCAGTGTCAACTGCACGTTGTGTGACACCAATAAGTGACCCATTTTGGAATCGTCACCACTGGTAACTTTTGTTGCGGTAACTTATATGAAATCCCTTTGCCAGACACTGATTTAATCCAAACGATATCCACGTTAACTTCTTGGAGCGTGTATGTCGTCATAAGCGTTGTATTGCGCCGTATATTAGTAACTACGAGTTCATTGTCTCGCAAATCGATAGTGGACGCTGGCCGCCTACGTTCACCGATCTAAGTCTGAACGGCCCGCTTAACATTTGGCTACCACAACTGGTTCTGATGTTACGGAACGAACTATCAGCTTACTGAACGGAATTGATGACCGTAGAATTCCTCCAGATCAGCATCCGTGTTAACGTACACACAGAGAGAACTGAAAACCGTTCTCAAGAGTTAAGGCCGCATAGGTACTATCCTTGAACTGATGTAGTTCCCTCTATCCATGGTTCTTCCAATCATTCGATATACTCCAAATTATCCTCGACTATTCGGTGGAGTTCCATATCAGTAGGATATGTCTTCAGCCTCACATAGTCTTTTTGATCTGAACAAAAGATATGCTGGGAACAATGTTGTAAAGATATTGGCGCTGCATCCCCAGACGCTCGAGAGCTGCACGCAGTCCGTGTGTGCCTAGTACATCTCTGTCGAGAATGTCCCTAATGTTCCAGTTTCACGGTCTAAGTTGGCGCGACGTCATCTTTTTTTGTGGCTGACTAACAGTGCAAATTTCAGTCCCCAGTACCCGGTTCTGTGAAGCAAGCGTTCAAGCTATAAACCTGTTATCAAATCCCTCATATTCACGTAGGTTTGCAAAAAATAACGTGACCTGAGTAGGACCCACCTGGCGGTGGGTGCTGCGTTAGTCTGATTATTCTATCACCCAAGTGTGACCTCTGACTGCTAATGCTACTTACATCAGTGCGCAGGATTAGAGCTGACCGTATTTCTGCCTTGTGAGTGCTCGTCTCGAAAACCGTGATGGTCGGACTGATAATTACACGGTGTGAATGAGCGAATGCAATCAGTTCGATGCCTCTTTGTCCATCTACAACGTATACGTGGGACAAATACTTTGGACAACTTTATTCGAAACAGTGGATTGAGATCAATCAAGCTGAGAATAAACAGTGATTTGTCAGTGTATTTGTACAAGCACACAAGGACTTTGACAGCCTGGTGGGGTTAAGCTGTGATTGGCCACTTATCTTAGTGCCGGTGTCTGTACAGTGCCTTTCGAAATGCCATGTTGAGGCTGCTAGGCATGGCCTAAAGCCTTACACCCAGTTGTTCCAGGTAGATTTGATGGAGGTTTATGGGCCACTGCTACGTTGATCCGACGTCCTGCATCGAGTGATTGGACTTCAACTGAACTACTGGCCAACGTTTACGAGCGTGTTCACGTGCCCTTTCGGCTAGTAAACGTCATTCGGCCAATGTGTTTGTACCCATAGGATCAGACCAACTGATAGTCATACAGAGCTTGAGCTGGCCAACTTTTACAAGCATGTTCACGTGCCCTTTCGGCCAGTAGCCTCGTCATTCGGCCAGTGTGTTTGTATCCATAGGACCAGACCAACTGATAGTCATACAGAGCTTGACTAACGAGGAACGTTTTCTTCAGGTGGTCACTGGTCATGGGGCATATGGTGAAGGCGACTGTTGACTGGTCACACTGGATTCACTTCCAGGTGATTTATTAACTCCTCGAACTGGAATTCCACTGGTTTGATTACGTTTAAAAGACGAAATCTAGGTGCGAAGATTTACTAGACAAGTAAGTGAACAAGTAGAGACCCCATGTCTGTTCCGTCTGACCGTGAAATGCTCCGTTGAATAGGAAATGAACATTCTTTGTGCAGTGTAGAACTGGTTCCTTATACTTACCCGGGTATAAATAGTGGGAATTTGTCATGCTGAATGATGTCTTATTTGCTTCACAATCCATAATACGAGTGCGCTGGTAACACAAAGTGATGAAACATTCAGCTGTGAAATTTTCCCATCTAAAATTACCATGTTTCAATCTATCAGAAGAATCAAAAGTGTCCCTCTCTCATGCTGAGCAGAGCAGCAAAACTCGCCTTGACGTATTTTATCTACCCAGGATTGGATACAGAGGTAGTTGACCTTATGGGGCGCTTGTAAGCTGTCGATAGGCGTGTCCGTGTCGACTTATTGTCGGCTGTTGGCCACTGACTCGGACTATCCATTCTGAAAACACTTACGGAGGTCCAGCTACAGCATCCTCGGAAACAGCTACCAAACCTTTTGTTCGCAAAACTAAACGGCCACACTGGGTCTGCTGTCTGTTCTATTCTCCTTAAGGTGGGTATCGCGAGATGGACCAAGTGGTTAGAGCGCGAATTTACTGACCGGAAGGTTCGTGGTTCGAAACCGACCTCTGCCTCTCGACTTCCCCTGTCTAGGCTGGGGCAACCTGACAGTACCCCAGCCTTCGTGCTTCCTTCGTGTGGCACGGCAGCTAGGCACCAAAAGGGTGTTACCGCCGAACGATTTCGATTTCGAGATATCGCATAACGAATTGCCGAGAGAAAGTACTACTACAAATGTTTTGTGCACGCACTCATCTAAACCATTTAGAATGTTGAGGCGTTTGAATTTGTTCGAATGAATTCTGGACACACCTGTTCCTGTTTTGTGCGGGAAATGCACAGGTTATCACAGCATGTGTTCAACGTGTTTTTGTACTGACACCGGGAGATCATGTTACCCTGCTTCCTACACACCTCTGTTAGTACTTCGATCGTATTAGGAGCTGTATCTGTGATCAACATTCGGGTTCAGAGAATTCGTGTTTGCGAACTTTCGGACTGTAATAATTGGACCCGACTCTCTTAGCGCTTCGTCTGGAGGAAGAACGGAATCGTCCAAAAAACGAGCTCCTATCATCATATTACTGTCAAAGTGAACAGTAGGCATCACTTGGTCCGCGCACCACTTAGCGCAACGGGGATTAGCTACGCCTTGCTTGACTTCTGATCATTATCGTTCTCGGCATGGGAACTCAGGAAGAACGAAGTTCCGGTCAGTGTCACAAGAAGGATGGTTGAGAAGACGATTCTCGACTGACAAGGTGGCGGCGTTCGTTCGGAGAGGTGAGGAGAATGCAATACCAGACGGAATTGGTCAGGCCAAGTATTCACGCGAGAAGTCGTAAACTAGTGAAGACTAATTTCAATTCAAACAACGATTCTCGACTGACAAGGTGGCAGCGTTCGTTCGGAGAGGTGGAGAGAATGCAATACCAGACGGACTTGGTCAGGTCAAGTATTCACGCGAGAAGTCGTAAACTAGTGAAGACTAATTTCAAACTCACAGCATGTTGGGTTTGTTCATTCCCAACTGTGGCAAACTGTTGATGCTCAGTCCAAAGAACCCCGTCAACGTCTTATGAGTTGCACACTTCAAAGAGTTTCCTACTACTTAGTTTCTAACGAATAAACATCACCTGATATGAATATTCGAATTTTGTTCGTAGCCCGTTATTTCTTCACTCTTCGATTGTGAATAAATGTGGTTGCCAGCTTCGCCTACTAAATATGGTTAGTCCGGCTCTGCAGAAACGAAGTGTTCCCTATAGGGGAAACGGGCATTCATTCCGTCTCTGCGGACGGATCGATGTAATCGCAAAATGTGTCACTGTTACCACAGGCGAATAAACTGCACAGAGTGTTTCTAGAATAGGCCTCTTTCCGGGGGTCAAGAAGTACCATATGACGGGCGGTTTTGTGAACTTCGTCCATCTGTCCAATACCTACATGCAACCGATACACAGACTTTATGCAACATATGAAACCTCCATGTAAAAATGGTGTCCCGCTAATTGTCTTTCCATCCGAAACTGGTGAGACTGCTCCACGGATGGATTTTCTGCGCTCAGTGTAAATGTTTGCTATTCTCACTGGCAGTTCGACTGCGGCCAAATGGCAAGATACACTCAGTTCAATGTTGTGTAGTTGAGAATAGTGCAGCTTGAATCTCATTGCCTAATGTACCACATGGAATCCCAACGGCCCTTAGCAAATGCAAGTACAAATGCGCCGTCCATTTTTGATCATAGTGAAACCAGAATCCCGTTCGACAGGGACCCATCTGAATAGAAAGCACCGCTCAAGGAAGGCCATACAACGCGTCCTGCCAGTGAACAGGGGCCAAATCACAGAGATGTTCAAAAGCTGATTTGAACAGGAAGTCCCCACCCTCGACAGGACTCGTTAAGCCGGACATTAGATGTTCATTCCGAATTTCTGAAGCGCTTCGAATTTCTGATATTAGTGAGACGCAATAATTACGAAAACTAAGCCTTGGTGATTTTATACAGGATGCGAATAACACTTAGTTATTCTCGCATACAGAGCCAGTTAACTTGGCACCGTGTGACCATACAGCCCTGACTCAAAAGGTCTGGGGATGTGTCCTCAATCAGACCTCCTGTTTTTATCGTTCGAATATGCCAACAAATCGATGCAACACCGGCAAAACCAGCCGGCATCCCCCAATCACGCACAGTCACCACACAAAGTGCATCACCTCGTCGAAGCCAGTGAGGTCAGTGCATTTGAGCTCCACACACACTGCTCAAATCTGGTTGGTCAATGCCAGTCCACGGATTGCTTATAAGCAGACGAACCGAATCGTATTTTTTACGTTGGGAGAATAAAACACAATGATGTTTCCAGCCATTTTGCTGCTTGCCTACCTGTTGACTGGTAAGCTCATAAAATATGTGTGATATGCACGCTGCACCGTTCAATCTAACACTTCCGCGTAATTCCACCGGCAATGCGAATCCCCGTTCTTTTTAGGCACGGATGCCATAACCTGCCTGACTTGCGCGGACTGCAAACTCCCAATCGCTGCACAGGGATCCACAGCGGTTGTATCGGCAGATAACTGTGCTGCATGTTCGGTAGGTCACAGCTACTCGGCTTTTACCATTGTATTTTATAACCAACTTTGTGATGTCTAATTATTTCCAACTGTTTGAAATTGGGCTATAAAACGAGCAAACATCGAGTGTTTCTCAGGAATGTCTTTGTGGTCTTAAGTAATCGAATCGCAGAATTGGGCCTTGATAAATATATCTCATCTGATGAGTGTTTGTCAAAGTCGGTGGAAGGCTTGTGAGTCTTGGAACTACCAGCATTTGGGCGGTGTTCGGGAAGCAGAAGGCCGGTGCGAATGTTGAGTCCTAGGTTGTGTAAACATAGTAACAATTAGAATCTGACCGGAGAAACCAAGCCCCCCTCCCCCACGCTACCTACATCAATGCCATTGTCCAAAAGAGCCGTTGAGTGCACACAAACAATTGGACGAATAATAAATCTCACGTCTTTCTGACATCCATCTAGCTCATTATTACCTTCACTGGAAGTAGAACGCCAAGCACAATTGCGGCCGCATGCGTGGCGGACGCTGCCAATTGTAACCCTGCTTACGCAGCCACTCAAGCCGGTGCGGTTGTCACCTCTTGCTGTACTACTGCCAACTGCAACGCATTGCCCGGAGTTGGAAGAAAACTGCTGCCAAGTTATTCCTCCCTCATCATTCCCTTCGTTGCTCTCTTTTATTCAGCCAAATTTTGACAAATACACGCGAACCATTGTTTTGTTGGTCATCCTGTCCACATGCGAGTTCAGTTCTTAGAACGTAGCCTTAGCTTCCCCAACACACCCCAGCCACGTTAGTTTAGTGACGTTTTCAGCTGTCCTATGCAACTGTTTTCTTTTTCAAATAAATTGGTCATCGTGTCATAGACATTGTGTTCTTGATTTTCCAGCGCCCAAGTCCTAAGAAGGCAGCCCGAAACCGAGTGGATTTGCGAAAAATTGGCAGCAAAATTTAGAGCGAGTGATGAAGCGGTTGTTTCCAACCACAGGACGACTCGCATGTTTGATTTTGGCTAATGCGTGAGGATTTGTGTTAATGGACCTTAGTGAGGTGCGGCCTGATGAGATACGACTGTGTTTGGTTCGATGGGTTGAAGGTTTAGCTAGGCAAGGGCCTTCGCGCACTGCATCTCAAGAAGTTTCAATTGATTTAAACTGATTTTGAATTTCACGTGAAATGAGATCCCCGTGTCTATTTGAATTAGCCTAAACTCACATTGGAAACACAGTGATGCGATTGTGCTCAACATAACGAAAATTCCAGGGAGTCCAAGGCGGAATGCTGACAATTCGCCTCGTTGTTTCATGATTTGGAGTGCAGTTGTCTTGTTGAAGGCACTCACTATTCTGCCCTAACGGATTGCATCGTAATGTAGCCGACGGATATCTGGGATCACTGAATATAGGTTGGCGGGAAATTCAGTTGCTTGAGGCTCGTGATTTTTCGGTGAGTGGCGCTAGTGTGGACGGTTTCGTGCGGATATGCGGTTGGTTGAGTGACGGCACAACGGTATCGGTCTAGTGCATCTATTTAATGTATTGCTGGACTACCGCTGGTGACCCTGCTAGGGTGAAACATGGACGCGCGAAACATTTGTGATAGCAAGGAAACTGATGGATTCAGTACGGGAATACTTAGGTGTATTCGTTTCGTTGATAAATCAATCGCTTCACGCCTCAGCTTGGTTTGATCTCTGATTCGACATGTGCAGACGCGACAAAACGCACGTTTGTGCCGAGTATGAACGGTGGGCGATTGTGCACAATATCGAATTGTCGGGGCTGTCAATCAAAACCGTGTTACTGTATGCTAGAATGTGCAAAGCAGTGGGAGTATCTCTTTACAGGCACTCCTATGTAAGCTATTTGACCACCCAAGTAACGAAAATTTCATACAATCATGTGAATTTTTAAAGGGATTGGGTGCATCATTGCATACAACGTTGACTAGCAGAATGGCCGCATCACCTGCACATTCTTTTACCGACTGTGCTCACAGAAGTAAATAGTATCATCGAAATCGATTTGAGTGGGCTTCAGTAGCTGACCGGGTTTGGTTATCCATCACTCAGGTTCTCCAGGAGTGTAGAATCGAAACTGTGCTTAACGTCCTGAGTAAGACTGCCATGGTCGCCCACATTCCGATTTAATCGGTCATCACAGTTCATATCGCTTCCTATCAGCACAAATCACTTATGTCTGGGGGGCTCGTTGAAGCGATTGGGATTCATCCCGCGTGGTAGTGAATCCACTGAACTGACGATTGTACTGACTCAAACCCAATGAGGTCAAGTAATCCTTCATACATCCGGTTGTTGTTTCAACACCTATTCTGGTGTTGACACGAGGTGCACAAAGTTGACTTTAGCGGTTTTCTGCCTGTAGCCGGACTAACACGATATTTCCGAGGGCGCAGCTTCTGTCGTCCCTACATACCCAGAATGTGCAACAGTGTGATTGCATCATTCGGTCGAATGTCATGCGAATTTTCAGGTACGAGTAGGGTGAATTGTGACTGGAATAGTTGCCGCTGGTTTCATCATGTGAACACTGATGAGGCATGAGGTCAATTGTTCATGCTTAAGCAATAGTTGTGCAATCCAAGGTACTGGTATGAGTGAATAACAGGATGCCCACTATCGTCAGACGTTTCACTGTGTAAGATCACTAGAGCTATTGAAGAAGATGAGACCTGAGTCCAAAAAATTAGGATTTCATTTCCGTTTTGGCCAGGTTGGAGAGATTCAATTTGTGGAGTGAAACGAACATCATGTGAGTCTGCACCATACGAAGTTACCGGTGAATAGGTCTACGCGCTTAACTGCTGTCATCCCAAGCAAGATTTCGATCTCGCTGGGTCTTGCCATTTTGTGTTTCAAGTATCAGATACATCAACCACCCAGTAAGCCGTTTGTCGATCGATCCCCTAGAGCAGTTAGATTGGAAAACTGATTGCAACCAGCTATTGGTCTATGCCGGTTTTTGGTGATCCGTCAATGTGACAGTTGTCATTTGAACTCTGGAGCAGTCCCAAACAACCACTAAAGGATGTAGGGGAGCGGTCAATCACAAAAGTGCACTCCTAGTGATATAAAATAGGAATCACTTGTCCATAAAAAATAAGAGTGAAATAACAGATGGACACCTGGCGAGTAGAAGTCCAACAAGAATGTATCAATAAGTTGCTTTGTATGCAATACAGATCAGTATGGCGTTACTTATGCGCCATAAAATGCGGAAAATTTTCTGGTTTGGTATTTGAAAGAAAGAAACAAGGGCTGGGCGTGGGTCATTGTCAACGACAACTGTGTTACGTCACTTCAGTAGTCAGCTTACCGTTGCTTGGAGTTTATAATGTGGTAGAACGGCTTCTCAAAGCCATTCGAAACTTCTTATCTTCTCTTCACTAAAAGAAGTTTGTTCATATATCCCGTCATAACATACCGTTTGTCATCTCCACCTTTGCATGGTTCGGATACAGAAAGTGTTCATGTGCGTTACGAGCTACTACTTAGAGAAGTTTTTAAACCTCACGTAATCCAGCAAAAGGTTCTTGCTCGATCGCGTCATATTCATTTCTGGCGCACACATTCCGCAAGTTTTCTTCGTACCCACCCAGTAAAGAGTTTTGTGACAACAGTAAAAAAGGCATTCCGGCAGTTCTCCCTTGGGTTGCTGAAATCATTCTAAATTGGTACGAGGGATCGTTCGTCCTACATTTGTCACACAAGTTTTCATGGTCTCAAATGAAAACGATTGTTTCGTTGTGACGGCAACTCACAGCCACCTAAAGGATCAGGTGCGTCGCTCCCATATTCCTGCTCTGTGATTGGATGGCTAAGTCTTCAGTTAGCCCCCTTGTTTGCACCAAATGGAACGAGTTCATTCGGTTCACTCTGTTACTCACCTTCACTGCTACAAGGCTTGAATAAGCAACACTGTATAACAAAACAGTCTCAAGCATCTGGTTGTAACACCTTGCCTAACTTACATGCCACACTGAGGAAGCACAATCGCCTAGATACTGCCAGGTTGTCAAAGCCTAGACAGGAACAGTCTGGAACAGGCAACATTCCGCAGTTGGATTGGAACCGCAAACTTTTCGTCAGTAAAATCGCGCCTTAAGCTCTGAGCTAACTTGAGCTCAAGTGACATTGAAGCGAACTACCAACCCAGCTCACCAACTTGCAAAGCTTCAGTTACGATTTTTACTAGAAATGCTGATCTCTGGTATACGGGCATGTGAAAAGGCATCCTAGCTTTCCTGGGTCACAAACCAGTAAAACCGAAACGGTCGATAGATCCCACGTATACGTTTTGCTGACAGTATAGTTATTATCTGATTCAGCGAAGTACAGCAGAGCCTGCCGAACCCTGTTCTCAGGTTATCCCTGTCACACTACAGGAGGTTATTTGGAAGCCATCAAGCATTGAAGTAGGTTTGTCACTGGATGTGACATAGCAATACAGTCGGATTGATCACACCTGTCCACCCAATAGCCAGGTTTATTCCACCAGCGTGCTACATTCTTTCGATCACAAACGAGTTCCTTTTATCGACAGACCGGGTTTTCACACCTCCATATGGACCCCAGTTGAATCAGTTATAAAGCGCACAACTTTCATTTTTGCTTAGCCAGTATCACTACAGCGTTTGTTTCATTTGCTTTGAATCTGATCAGTCACACAAGTAATCTGAGAAATTTCTAGAACGCCGACCCGGCCTAAAATCGAAAGATCGTGGAATCGTGTGCGTCTTGAGGCCTTCTATTTTATCCTTCTAGAGGAGTTTCCAAGTCTTGTGGCCAAAATTCAACTTCGGACACATGTGAATGCCGAATACCACAAGAAGCAATATCTGCTAGGCGATGTTCACAAATACGTGGTCATATCTGCCCTTCGGTACATTCACAAGACACTCATATCCTATTTGCCACAAAGGTGGTACATTGGGAGGGCTCGTTTTCTAATTAGTGTAGTAGGATTGACCACTCTATTCATAAGACCGTTTTTGTTATCCGAACTCCAAGCTCGCTAGTAATGTGCATTAACATTTTTTGCAAACACTACGGCAAAAATCTACATTCCGACCCCAGTAACTACCTTTCTGGCTTGATAAGCGATTTGTCCATCATATGGTGGGATACTATCAAGAAGGTCAGATTCCCTAAAGTAACCTCAGAACTCCCGGAACCTACCGCTCCACCAAAATCTCAACAGGAAAACCGGCAAGCATCCAGGCCAGTCAATCATTCAATCAATTCAGCAAAACCTGATGAGCCCCCATGCACGCCACAGAAGCACGACCGAATGTGATCAGCATTCAGGCTTTTCACAGAGGCACGATCGATGTTGATGGGTGATCGCTAACGCCTATCAGACAGCCTGGATCAATGTCAGAAAGTCCCCTTTAAATAGTCGTTGTAGCTTCTGCTGTCGCGCTCGCAAGCACTCACGCTCTCGCACTCGCTTGTTCGGAATATAGCTGTTGTTCCCTTGTGTGAATCTTTTATTCTCCGGCGTTAGGCACTGGAGCGGGTCAGCAGCAGATAAGACAGATCGCCGATTCGGCAGATATAACAGATACCTATGCCTTTTTTCTCCTTCCATCAGGCAGTCTGAAAAGCCGCACGTATCTCCTAGATCATCATATAAAAAATAAGAACATTTGCTGAAGCCTCTAAAAGATGTGGCAGAAAAGACCATTTTGTTTGTTTGTAATGTACTACTCATAAGCTTGCTCAAAATTCTTCGACAGCCCACGACCGGTTTCGCTCTTCTTGCGGCCCATCAGGTGGGCGCAGCCCCCGAGTTTCCGTTAACTTTGTCTTACTTGAAACCAAATTGCACGAAGTTAGCG